TTCCGGCAGATATCGCAAGACTTGATCTATCCGGACGTCAAAAACCCGGATCCGAAATATCCGGACGACTCACCTGAGCGTTGCCCTCTGCATCCGTCCAAAGACAAGTCCGTCCCCTGTTAGCACAACGCGCGCAGGATCCGTCCATTTCCGCAGACATAGCACGAGTCTTTCCATCCATTAGAGAAATCCACCATATCCATCCGAAACTCACCATTTCCGCTACTATTTCCTTGCGTCTTTTCTCCTCCGCTGCTACAAGACTCTCAGCCTCCTTAATCTTCCTCAATTCCTCCTTGTGTTTCCGTTCCGCCTCCTGATGTTTCTGATTCTCTTCTTCTTCCATCCGAGCCACAATTTCCGCGTCCGCTATTTGCTGTTGAAGCTCCAGAAGTTTCTGCTTAGCAGTTGTCTGAGATCCGGAGGTGTTGCCAGACATATCCGATAGAGCGTTATAGAGGAAAAAGTGGGAAAGGAAGAATCAATCCTGGACATCCTACCTTGTGTATATCTGTCCGATTCCGAACTCAGAAACTCCCCCCATCGACTTCTCCATCATCTCACATTAATTTCGTCCGGTCCAGACCGATGCTTCTTGTGCCTCTAGGGATCGGCCCTAAGGGGGGGATACTGTCATATCCCATATATTCACACTTCTCTTCTGGACTTCGGACTCTTAGATCCGGTCCGGTCCGATGCATAGATCCGCGTCCGATCCGATATCCGATAAGCTTCTTAATTCATTTCCTGTTCATATAATGTTAAACACAGCCTATTCGGTATTTCCTCTTCCCGGTGTCTCGGTTATACTTATTACCGGTATGATTACTGATCCGTTATCCTATGCTTCATTTCCGACTCGTGTTTGATAAGCTTTGCATATGCTTCATACATAGCCTCGGACCTTTGCTTATTGATCCTTCTGTTATCCTCTTAGTATATAAACCCATGTATATTTCCTGTAGTACCTCAGTTCGAATATCATCTTAGTTTGTCCTCTTTCTGTCCTCCGGACTTGAGTCTAAACAACTCTTGTCAATCTCTGAGACTTCGGATCGATTCTGATAGTCTACGTCTCCGCCTCTATCTTCAGATAGTCTATACTCTGTTTGTTTCTAGTCCGGATCCGTCCGGATTAGTCTTATACGCTGTCTTGTTACTTGAGGGTCTTATATGTTTTCGTGTAAAATGCAGTGACACCACAACTACACTTTGATAAGACAAAAGCTGCCAACTCCTCAAGTACACGGTCAACGGATTTTCTACTTCTCGGTTGATAACGTGCTGTTCGTTGGAGGCAAGACTATACAGTCGGTCGTTTGGTTGAAGCGATGGACTGCTGAAATAAGATAGACAATGACTAGTATAGGTAAAATCCTATGAGAGTCACTGAAATATATTGAAGAAGGTAATGGACAGTGATATAAGAAACTATCCTAAATGAGTAGGCTGAACACAAAGATACTTCAAGCTGGAAGGATGTGAGAACCTATGACTAAGCTGGACCTCAGGCTGTGGCTGAAAGGTCTTGCAAACAAAAGATGGGAATGCTGACTAAGCTTTTCCCAGACAAATCCTTGCTGATGTAATCACAACAAGAATACAACAGATCTAGACCACCTAAGGACTAGATAACTAAATACAAGTGATTAGACTAGCTGGAGTCTAACAATAGTGAGTAAATACAAGACTAAGATTACCTAATCTTAGTGTAGACTAACTGAGGGAAATACTGGTCCCTTGCACTTCCTGTGACAGACAGGTGAAGTGGGAATTCTCCTCTGTGAGAGACAGATAAAGTGGAAAATCTCCTTCTATTCAGTGGAGAAGAGGCCCTCCTTTTATACATTTGGCGTGGGAAAGATACCTAGGTGCCAAATGAATATCTGGAATATCCTGCTCCACTTATTTGTAATCAAATATTACATGTATACTATTAAAATAAAAATAGAACTGACTCAGTCCGATCGATCTGATCACCAATATGCAAATAGTGGTGCTAGACGACAAATTGAGCAGAGAAAGAGAGTTCATGAGTCATCAGATTTGACTAAGCTTGATCTTGCCAATTTCTGAATAATCACATGTGAACTCATTATGTAAGTTTTTCCCTAGAAGAGAAAACTAACATGATGAACGTAAACAACTCATAAATATGAAACATGGATAAACAATTGCAATCATAGACCAATGAAAAAGATTATGTAAGAAACACAGTCTTCAGACATTCAGCAAACAAAATTAAACCAGATCCTAATACAAATTACTCAAGTCTTTCTGCTTCTTTTCTTCAACTTCCTATATATCGCCTCTAAGCAAGCCTCCCATGGACAAAGCTAATAGGCTTGATTGCTGTAGGCTTTTATATATATATATATGAATATGTCCATGTATGATATCCATATCATGCATGACAACGCGTTTCCGATATCCGGAAGTCATCCGGATATAACTACGAGACTCGTCCGGACCTTCGGACGCGTTATCGTTAAGTCTTTGAAATAAGGGACAGTACTTGGGAAAGGGGCACAGCATACGAGCTGAGGCCGAAGTCCTTCAGATCCAATCCTACGAGAGTACGACCTTAACATCATCAAGGCACGATCTTCTGCGCAATGAAAACAGCTTTTTAAGGATGTCCAGACCCGTCCTCCGAGTACGAGCCTTGTCACCTCTCAGCTTTTGCTTGATATGCCTGTCCGCTGGTCATCAACCTATGTTATGCTCAACCGTGTGGAGAAGATGAAACCTGTATGTGCTATGAGCTTGACACTGACATGACATTAATGTTTCATCAGTTTGTCAACACTTTTGTATATGAACTTGGTGTTCGAGAGCCTAACCTTGCAAAGCGTGCAAAAATTGACCAGTTGAGGCTCAATAATGATGAGTGGAAATGAGTGGAGCTATTCACATCTCTTCTTGCAGTGTGTTATGTGCTGATATGTCTCTCTTGTCACTGACTGTTTGCTCAGCATGCTGATAATGTACAGCAGAGTTTCTCGTCTGATAAAGGCTCAACCCTTCAGCTTGCATTGCCAGCTCTCAAAGCCTTGCATAAGGCTTGGATGTCTCATTCTGAGAGTTCAAAGTATGAGCCCTTTCATACAGCCTTGAATGCAGCTGTTGAAAAGATCTGTGGGTACTATGAGCGAACTGCAGACAATGATGCATATATCATGGCTATGTGTATGTGCTTGTTAGAACACTATTGCCTTATATTCACTCTTGTTGTTAATAGTGCTTGACCCATCACAGAAGGACTCACATATTAAGCACTTCTGGGGTAAAGAAACACATATTGATGCTCTCCGTGAGGCTGAGAGAATGGTGAGTTTGTCTTCTTGTTGAGAATGAGATGTTTACATAGGTGCAGTTCAAGGAAAGACATATCAGATTGTATGGCGAGCATGGAGCACCAAATTCACCAAGGAAGAAGACTAGTAAGGTACACTCACTCCTTCGGGAACTCTCCAGTGATGATGAGAGTGATGATGGAGAGCTGAAAGAGTCACTTGAAGATCCACAGTCACCATGGTTGAAGGAGTTTCATCTCTATCTTAATTCTGCTACTGCAGTACCTGAGAACATGTCCATCATTCAATGGTGGGGGGTGGGTCCTGTCATTTTGTATGTGTTTGACTCTTGTTAATGTGGGCTTGATGTTACAGGTGAATGCCCAGCAGTACCCTGTCTGGGCATCTCTAGCTCGTGATTACCTGTCAATCATGGCTACATCAGTGTCAAGTGAGCGAGCATTTTCAGCTGCAGCTCTGACCATCACCAAGCGCCGAAACTGTTTGAAGGGTGACATTGTGGAGGCTATTCAAATTCTTCGCATGATGTATCAACGTGACCTGATATTCCGTGAGCCTCCTCCTTCCTCAGCTCTAGAGTTAGCACTAGAGGAACTTGATGATGGAAATGAGGAGATAGATGCTGGTGTTCAAGGGGTTTCTGACTGGGCCTTAGAGATTTCTGATGTATCTGACATTATGTCTGACTCAGAGTTGGAAAAATAGTATCCTACTAAACTATATGGTTGTTTTGTGTTTTCAATATATAGGCCCTGGCCTGAGCCCTAAGCCCGGGCCTAGGCCAAGGCCTAGCTAAGCCCTGGCCTGGGCCCGAGCTAGGCCTGAGCCAAGCCCAGGCCCTTTGATATGGCCTGGCTTGAGTTTTGGCAGGCCTGAGCCCTCAAAAGCCAGGCCCAAGCCAGGGCTTTCAGGCCAAGCCAGGCCTGGCACATCACTAATTATGGCAATAACATGACTAAGACCATTTAAGATGAGTTTTTGAGAGAACTCTTCACTAGGAAATGTCAAGGTGTGATTTCATAGGATAATAATATTATCATTAGCAGGTTTCAAACCAGCACAGCTCAAAGAAAAACAGATTTTGACTCTGGCAACAACTCAGCTAATGTTACGCCCGGCGTTGTTTAGACGTCTTTACGTTTCAACGGTTTCAAGTAAAGCCAATGTTCTGATGAAGATGAAGCTAGATTGCAGGCCCTGGTCTGCGTAGGTCAAGTTAAAGATACAAAGCGTAAAGAGTAAGGTATATATAAGGGTATTGAAGCGGAGCTTGAATATGAATAGCGAATAGGAAAAAGAGTAAAAGAATCGTACGATAGAACGTGATGGAATATCATAGAATGATCAGTGACTATGTGAAGAAGTGAAAAGTGAAACTGTAACAGCTAAGACTGATGAAGATAAGTGTCTGAGATACTATCTATGATTCAATATTCAAGGTATTTTTTTATAGAAAAAAATGTGATGTTTCACTGGTTTCAAACCTGTTGCACTCCAATAGAAACAGATTTTGATTCCATTATGACAATCACTTTGCTAAACACTAGTCTCAGCGGCTTTAAAGCAAACTGACCATGAGGATATGTCAAGGTGTGTTTTCATAGAAAATGAAATTTTATCATTTGCAGGTTTCAAACCTGCACGGTCCAAGAGAAACAGATTTTAACTCTGGTGATAACTTGATGATTTCATCTTTGGTGGGTTTTGAACCCACGCAGACAGATTTAGATTCTGTTGCATTAACCGCTTGGCTGAGAGCAGTTGGGTTCAATTCCAATGAACTCATTCAGAAGTGAGTCCTCAAGGCACATTTATCTGCATTTTGTCAGTTCTTTCAATAGCATGGTCACCGTTGATTCTTGTATACTGCTCTTACTGCAAAAGACGCAGACTTCTGCTGGGGCTCTTAACTTCAAGACCTGTTTACCTAACAATTTCCTTGAAAAAGTGCTGATGGCAGACCATCACAGTGGGCTCATGAGTGAAAACTGACAATAAAAAGATCACACAGTTGAATCAGCCAAGTGGTTAATACAGCAGAATCTCAATCTGTCTATGTGGGTTCAAAACCTGCTGAAGATGAATTTGCCAAGTGATCACCAGAGTCAAAATCTGTTTCTCTTGGACTGTGCAGGTTTGAAACCTGCCAGTGATACAATTCATTTTCTATGAAAGCACACCTTGAAATTTGCTCACAGTTGTGTTTAGCCAAGTGGCTGTCATTGCAGAATAAAAATCTGTTTCCATTGGAGTGCAACAAGTTTGAAACTTGTGGGATGTCACATTCATTTTTTCTATAAGAACATGTCTTGAATATTTGCTCATACATAGCATCTCAGATATTATTCATTGGTCTTAGTCAAGTTGTCGCCGGATTCAAAATCAGTTTCTCATTAACGACTGTCTGCCCTCTGGGGGCTTTGACTCAGTCATGCTCATGGTAGACCATGGCCTTATGAAGCAAATAATTATTACTCATTATAACAAGATTTCACATCAGAAGGAGTAGTCAAACTCTTTTTTTAAGAATATCTTCAAACATTTTAGACTCCACAATAAGGTTATCTCAGATCACAGTGTAAAGAGTAGATCCTGTATGGACACTTAGAAAGTGATCACCTCAGAACTCAGAGTGCGAGTATAAGTTGTCCCAAAGAGACTGCCTGTAGAATTACCTCTTAAAATATAAGTGCAGAAGGTCCGTTAAGATTGAGGATGAGAGAAAGGAAAGTCACCCAAGGTGCATTCAAAGTTCTGAAGATGTGTCCATGATAAGGACAGCTCTGATCGTCGTCATGTTGGAGGTGAGTACAAATGTGTCATAATAATTAACACTGAATTTCTGACACTGTTTGTTGGTCACAAGCCTAGCACACAGCTTTGTATTCTTGTTGTTTGGTCCACACTTTGTTGCCAGAACATAGTGGCATGGGATCAGATTTGCACGGTCAGGTGCATCGATGATTTCCCATGTCCCCAACTTCTCCAGCTGACTCAACTCCTATGCTATTGCCTCTCTCCACTCATCTGCATCTGGACCGGATAGGGCTTGTTGAAGAGTTGGTTTGGGCTGAATGGCCACTAGAGCGAGGTAGGTAAGTCTTTATTTGTACTCTTGTGTTGATTGGGTAGCCAGTGCAGCTACCTCCCCCTCATTTAGCGCCATGTAGTAGCCTGGTGGGGGGTGCATCCTAGTTGTTCTAGGAGCAGGGGGTGTTTCCAGTGACTGGGGAGTTCTGGATGGTGTGGTTGGTGGAAGCTAAGGTTGGGCAGGTCTGGATGGTGCTGGTGATGTTGCCTGGCCAGTAAGCTGAGGTTGGGCAGGTCTAGACTCCTCCTCAGCCGGCACATCAGCAGCAACTACCATTGACTGACTTGTTGTGCCTTGGTGTGCATTTGTGAAGTCGGCTGAAAAGTAAAGCTTGAATAAGCCACTAAAAGTCAAATAAGGAATCTTGGATTTTGCTGATGTTTCTGTAGACACCTTACGTTTTGACGGCCAGTAGATGTGATAGCCTTTACTCTGCTCATCCATGCCAATGAACATTGCCTCCTCCGCTCTTGCCTCAAGCTTGCCTGCGTCCTCCAAGTGTACATACACCATCACGCCGAATTCATGGGTGTTTGTAAGGCTTGGCTTTTCCTTGTGGACAAGCTCATAGTGGGTGGTCTTTGGGGTCGCTCTGGATGGTAAACAGTTCTTTAACCACGTAACATAACCCACAGCCTCAGCCCACAGGAACTTGTTGGACTTAATGTTTGGTGACGAGCTTGACTCGGAAGTAGCCGAACGAGTGGCTGAAACCTTAAATCATTGGTAGTACATACAGTAGTTATTTTTACATGTACCCTACGCGTTTGCAATGAGTTCACTGTGCTACGTCCTGTGCAAAATCCTATACAAACACGTCAAACAACCAGGCAGAGCTCCCTGTGGTCATATCTTGGGGCTAATTGGTGATTTTATCACTGGCAGAAGTTTTGGAATCGACAGATCTGGGCTTAACTATTAATACTCGTGCTTCTTTCGCTTCTATTACCTCACGTTCCTGGCGCTATCACCATGACCGACGACTCGGACCGCATTTCACGCTTCCCGCTTCTCAGCAATATTAATTATGGCGAGTGGTCTATCCGAATGGAGGCAGAGCTTATCCGAAAGGGTCTATGGGATATGGTGTTTGTTGAGGTAGATGTGGATGGAAAGACAGACGACGAGGTGAAGGTAGAGTTGCAGAAGTTGCTGGTTAAGAGGTCAGTGAAGAAGATGGCAGAGGCACGGGCGGAAATCATCCTTCACGTCGAGCGCGACCAGCTCGCTCATATGCGTGATCGCAATCCCAAGTTCATCTGGGAGACGCTCGCCCAAGTCCATCGCACACGTGGCCTAGGTACCAGGATGGCATTGCGACGGAAGTTGTTGATGGCGACAAAAGGTACGGCAGAGGCTATGTCTGCCTGGATTAGTCGTGTCAAGGGTATGGCTCTGGATTTGGATGATATTGGTGTTACCGTGGACGATGAAGACCGGATTCTTGCGCTTACGACTGGACTCGACAAATCGTATGATTCATTTGTCATCTCACTCGACTCGATGGTCACTGCAGATCTTACATTTGACCATGTGGTCAACCGCTTACTCAATGAAGATGTTCGGCGAGGCAGCGGCGCTATAGCGGCTAGTGAGGAGATGGTGCACACGGCATTAGTAAGTGCGGCTCAGGGGTGCGGACAAGTCTGTTTTTGGTGCGGGAAAGAAGGACACATTTGGGTGTTCTGCACAGCAACCCCGATTCGTGGGAAAGGTGTTGAGAGGGCTGCAACAGCGGCAGGGGAAAGTTTCGCGTTTTAATTTCAGGGGGTGCATTTTTATTTCTATTTCTATTGTCTTCAAGTCTTCGCTCGAGGGGGTGTGTTGGACTTAATGTTTGGTGACGAGCTTGACTCAGAAGTAGCCGAACAAGTGGCTGAAACCTTAAATCATCGGTAGTACATACAGTAGTTATTTTTACATGTACCCTATGCATTTGCAATGAGTTCACTGTGCTACGTCCTGCGCAAAATCCTATAGAACTTTGGTAAGTCCTTGGCAAGAAGCATAGCCCATGCGTGTGACACCAGTGTCGCATTGAGTCATTCAGCAATGCCGTTCTGTTGGGGGGAGTCATGGATGGTGAGTTGTCTCTCTATGCCTTGGTCCTTCAAATATTTATCGAACTCGGTGTAGAAACAACAATACTGAGTGGGGCTATACAAAGATGGCTCCAAACTGATATATTTGTGTTGTGGTCTTTGCACTGCCTAGTCTGCTATACTTGCCTGACAAGTGCGTTCGACCCAGGGGTCTGCGATTTGGGAATAGTCTTGTGGGTAAGTGAGTGATGTGAGAGCAATAGTTCGAGTGCGGGAAACAATGTCCGAAGGTATAATTACGATGTCCGATGCAAAAGCGTCGGGTCCGATGTTTTCGGGGTTTCGGGTTATCGGGTTCGGGTTCAGGGTGTCGGAAACTAATAGTAACGCTATAGCGAGCGTCGGAAGAGCGAGCGGTGTGCGCAATAATAACAATGACTGATACGGGCAGTGAAGGAACGATGATATTCGCAATGTCAACTAAGAACTACGAAATATCGGGTTTGACCACTAAGCGTCGGGGAACTGCTCCCCTCTACTTGGATGATGGTAATGCTATGGGGAGTCCAATATTTATGTAGATACGTAGAAATGCGGAACCCATAGGCGAAGGTAGCGGCCGATGATTTCAGATCCGAAGTACATGTAAATAAACATGAGGTGCTGCGGACTATGGGAAAACATGTAATAGTGCTTGCTACGATGTGAGTAATGTGTGAAATAATGAACTACACACCTAGTGGGGCTAGCAAGACAGGACGGGACACGGATAGGACAAGTGCGCGGGAAAACATCGGGTCCGATGCGGCCTAAACGTCGGGTTGGCGGGTTAGCATCGGATAACATCGGGAAGTGATTTAGCATGTGACGGGTATTTGACGTATACTGTAAAATAGCTCGATACGAGCCCAGCGCCAGCTCGTGTCCTACATCGGCACTCAGATACTCCCTGTCTCTATCAGAACAGACCTTTCACAACCGAATGCTGGGGTGCTGCCTCACTATATTGGCCTCGTACTGTTTGAACGCTGTAAGTGCTTCACTTTTATGCTTCAGGAATTGGACCTTCATCTCCCAGCTATGGTCATCTGTGAAGCTGATATAATAGGAGCACCCGCCTAGGCTCGCGGTCTGCAAGGGACCCCATATGTACATATGAACTAGCTCAGTGTAGGTATGTGCATGGCTCTTTGCCTCCTCTGGAAATGGCTGACAGATGGCTTTGGCCCTCATGCATGCATCACAGAACTCTGGCACCGAGCTACTATCCAGTGCAAGCCCTTCAACAAGGCCTTTCTCCACCAAGTGTTGTACTGCCTCTTGGAATATGTGGCCCAGGATATGATGGAGTTTGTTAATGGTATGTTTAGCTGTAGCGACATTTGCATGCTCCTTACACTGACCTATCACCATGTAGAGGCCATCAACTTGGGGGATTTCTGCAATTACGGTGTGCTTTGGACCTGGTGAGAGTATTTTGCACATTTTTCCTTCGAAATGCATGGCTAACTCTGCCGCTGTAATGTGATTTGTAGAAATTAGCATGAATACCATTTTTGGAGCATAGAGTGCGCCTTTGAGGGTGACTGTGGTGTGTTTCTCTCCTAGAGGTAGATCCAATCTGACATCGCCATGGCCTATAGCACTTAGGCTAGAACCATCTGCTGTTTGGACGTTCTGAGGTGGAATATTGACGAAGTTAATGAACTTGGAACAATTGGGGCAAAAATAGGAGGTGGCACCAGAGTCCATTATGGCCCCACACTGGTCAAGAGGTATGCTGAGACTCTCTGCAACAGCTGCTAAGTCTGATATGACGAAAGCATACTTGTCTTTGGTCTCATTTTGCATTGCTGCATTCACATTTTGCTTTGAGGCACAGTTACCTCTCCTCTGGTTCTGCTTTGGCCCTTGGCCTTCCTTTCCGCCCCCAGGCCTCCAACAGTCACTTTTATAGTGACCCTTATGGTCACAGTTAAAGCATGTGATGTCATGATCAGCCTTGGTTCATGGAGGTACTGCTCTGCCTTCCTCCCCTAGCACCTGCATTTGCACTTAGTGTGCTCCCAGTGTTTTTCTTGGAGGTATGTTTGTCTGTGAGGAGCCTATGCTCATACTCTTCAGATATGATGTTGACTAGCTCATGGGGACTTAACGGCCTCGACATGATCTTCACAGCAGTGTTGATCGATGATAGGAGTGGCCTATACGATTCTGGGATGGATGTGAGGATCATGGCATGAAAATCCTTGTCGTCTATAGCTGCTCCCATCCCTGCTAGCAACTTGCGGAGCCTCAGCATCTCGCTAAAGTGCGCCTTAACGTCTCTGTGTTCCTCATAGCAGGTTTTCTGAAGACGACAGTGTATATCAATCTGGATGAGCTCTGTTTTACCCTCGTGAATCATACAGATCTTGGACCATATCTTCGAAGTGTCATCGAGCTTTTGGACACGCAGCAGCAACCTATCAGTGATAATGCTGAATATCTGCTGCTTTACAAGTGAGTCCTTTTGGAAAAATTCATCTATCTTTTTGTCCTGAGCTTCTATTTCTGCCTCCGCAGCTACATTGCTGTCAGGTTTGGTGATCGCCTTTGTTTTCGCATCAAGTACGAAAGGTATGGGCTTCACTGCACGACCATCTGCATACTGCATCAAACCTCTCACACCGATTGCCGTTAACATTCTTTCCTTATAGGTTATCCAATTACTACCTTCTTCGGTTAGTTTTGGGATGTTGAACAGGGCTGAGTTGGTGGAGGGGAGCGTGTTTTCCATGGTCTGGTCAGGGCTCATAACCTGTCATTCTAAGTGGTGGGCGAGTGCAGGAGCGAGAGAGCTAGACAATCAAATATATTATCTCAGTATCAGGAAGAGACTCTGGATGTACATAGATAGGCACCTAGACAGTCAAATATATTCTAAGGGTATATTAGCTCATAAGAAAAGGGAGAGAAAATGATATAAGGCTTACATCTCAGTATTGGGAAGAGACTGAGATGTGCACATGGCTAGGACATGGTTTTTAAACTATGAAGACACAGGGAAAATAGGAAAGAAAATAATAATGAGTTTGAGACCTATGGCACTTGGCCGCTGTCATGAACGGCTGCACAACAGATGCACTCATACCTTTCATCCCGACATCTTTGCCTTTACTTCTCCCAACAATTCCTACTTTTCCCATCTTCCCATAGTTAAAAATGATGTCCCAGCTGTCTAGACATCTCAATCTCTTCCCAATACTAAGATGTAAGTGTTATACTTTTCTTCCCTCTGTTCATATGAGCTATATACCTTAGAATATATTTGTCTGTCTAGCTCAGTCTCTGTGTGCCCATTAGCTTCTAGTTGCTACATGTTGGAGTCTGAAGAACCAAAGGCACCAGGTGATGAATGATGTCGGACCAGGTACAAGCACAGCATTTGTCGACAGCCAAGTTTATTTTTTGTTTCACATTCATATGCCAGTTCTCTTCCTATTTTTCCCATCATACATTAAAACGACGAGTCCTCAAGTCCAAACATCTCAGTTTCTTCCAAGACACTGAGATGTAAGCCTTATGTTCATTTTCTGTTATGATACGAGCTAAACGTACCAGTAGAATACATTCTATCGAAAGGTACATACATTGTCTAGGAGTTTCTTCCAAGACACTGAGATAATACATTCTATTGAAAGCTCATCTCTCCTGCGCTCGAGTTCCCCTCATCCCTTTAGGTTATGAGCCCTGACTTTGCCATGGATAACACACTCCCCTCCACAAACTCTGCCCTGTTCAATATCCCGAAGTTAGCCGAAGACGGCAGCAACTGGATAACCTACAAGGAATGAACCTTAATGGCAATCAGTGTGAGAGGCTTGATGCAGTATGCAGATGGTTGAGCCGTGAAGCCTGTCACCTACATCTTCGACAAAAAGACCAGACAGTTCACTAAACAAGATGGGAGCTCAGCCATGGAGGCTGAAATCAAAGCGGCAGACAAGAAGCTCAATGAATATGTCCAGAAGTGTTACAATAACATGTAACCGAGAACCCCTCCTACGGAGGTCGTCATGACCTTAGCCCCTATCCCACCATATGCACCGTCTTGGAAGACTTACCGACTCAACGGAGACTCGTAGAGACGCCTAGAACGGCCTGGATGCCGTTAGATGACCTAGACCAGCCTAGGCTACATCTGATCGGACCTAGATGGTCCTCGACCCGGATCATGAGGAAGCTCTGCCTCATGGTCAGAAGAGAAGCCGCATGCCTTAGCATGCGCAGTTAGACTCAAAGGCATGCTACACCTTGAGGACAGATAAGAGAGGCATGGTAAGCCTCATGTATAGATAATCGACCGCATGGCATCAGATGAGATGCCCTTGTATAGACACACTTACATCTACCTACCGAACGTAGTATTGGTCTGTGCACACGGACGACAGTATATAGAGCAGACTAGAATCATGTATATTCCCTACTTGATTCTACTAGGTTTTATCCAGAACTTCCTCTGAAAGACAGTCCCAGTCCTTCAGTCTAAGCCGCACCTTAAGGAAAGCCGACGCTACCTTAAGTGGAATCCCCGAACCTCTCATTCGAGAGAAGATCCCCGTCTCTCCAATAGCGAGCCCGCTATCAGATTAGGCAATCCGCCTAAGGAGAGCTCGAACTATCCTAGTCCGTAACAAGAAGGACTCACTAGTCAAACAGCAGGTGATCAGCACCATTAGCGATCACTTACTCCTCCAGGTCCAGAAATTAGAATCGGTGTCCAAGATTTGGGCCGAAATCTGTGACATTCATGAGGGAAAGACAGAGTTAGTACAAATTGATCTACGTTGTCGTTTGCAAGAAACTAGGTGCGATGAGAATGGTGACGTCAAGGTCCACTTTGGCGAAATGCTGTGCCTCCGCAAGTCCCTGGCTGGTATGGGTGCCGAGATCAACGACAGAGATTTCTATGCTATCATCCTGGCGTCACTTCCCAAATCATACTGGCCACTCCTTTCGTCGATCAATGCCACGGCCAAAATCACATCCACGCCACTGAGCCCATATGAGCTAGTTAATATAATAACGGAGGAGTATAAGCACAGATTACTCACTGATCGTCGAAGCTCCAAGAAAGGTAGCAACTCCGCACTTTCTGCGAAGGCAAATGGAGGGAAGACGAGGAGTTCTAATCCTACCCCAGCCCAAAGCAACCCTGATGCAGTGTGCTATAACTGTGACCATAAAGGTCATTATAAAAGCAACTATTGGAGGGCAGGAGGAGGAAAAGAAGGTCAGGGACCAAACCAGAGGAAGAGAGGCGGACGCTCACAAAAACACAACACCAATACCACTACCGAGTTGCAGAACCCACCAGATGAATACGCCTTTGTGACGTCAAATCTTGCAAATGTCACCGAGCAGCTTAAGGTACCTGTGGAGCGGAGAGGGGCCATCATTGACTCTGGGGCCAGCGCGCATTTTTGCCCAGATCGCTCAAAGTTCGAAAATTACGTGGCTATAACGCCCCAAGATATCCACACCACAGATGGGACAACCATTAGCGCCATTGGGAGAGGTGATGTCAAGCTAGACTTACCTCTAGGTGACAAAAGAACAAATGTTACCCTCCGAAACACGTTATATGTGCCCCAAATGGTGTTTACCCTCATCTCGATGAACCACATCACGTCCACAGGTATGGCTGTCTACTTTGAGGGAAATATGTGCAAGATCCTCTCAGCAGGACCCAAACATCAAGTCATAGCCAAGATACCACAGCTAGAGGGACTGTATACCATCCTTGCACGTCAGACACATCATGCTAACCTAGCCAAGACGATGCTCACCATATATGACCTCCATAAGGTTCTGGGCCATGTGTCCCAGATGACAGTACTAGACGCTGTAAAAAAGGGCCTCATTGAGGGTGTTGAGCTAGATTCCACCTCTCAGCCTCAGTTCTGTGATGTTTGCATCAAAGCAAAGGCCACACGCTTATCTTTTCCCAAGGAATCCACAACTTGGGCCAAGACCTATGGACAAGTAGTCCATACGGACCTATGGGGTCCTGCACGTGTCCAAAGCCTAGGAGGGTGCTCGTACTATATGTCCTTCACAGACGACTGTGAGCTTCCTCAAAGCTAAGAGCCAAGCTCTCACCTGCTTCAAGCAGTACAAGGCCTGGTTACTCTGCCAGCGTAATGGTGCCCGCATTAAGACATTGTGCATCAGCAAACTAGTGGGGCCTTGTACAAGTTTGTACAAATTTGTACAAACCTCACAAGCCCACAGCTAAGTGTCTGCTGGACAGGCTTGCACAAGCTGTACAAGGTCACCTTGTACTCTTTGTAAAGCTTGTGGGCTTGTGGATTTTTGACCACAACAGCCAAAAGAAGTATCACCAGACTGTGTTAGAAGTCACACCACATGTCACATCAGGTGATATTATCAACACATTATAATTTGCATTTCATAGGAATTGAACCCAAAACCTCAGCAATTAGAAGTGTAGCATAATAACCACTTAGCCACAAGACCATTAGTAAACTCCATTAATAATAGCAATATATACCAAAGAAATGTCACATGACCAAATGCGAAAATTCTACCAAGTCAGTCTAGTCAATTATCACTACAACACTACTATTCTATTTACTACTACATAAATAAGACTACAGTAGCTTCAGATAGTTGCAATAGAATCATACACTAATTTACTCAATATATATCCTATTTAATTTTCACTCAGAGTCAATAGATCTTGTATAGTAAAGATTAATATATATTTCAACTATATTTTCAGTAATTACAACAACATATGGTAGGTTAAGGATAGTAGACACTATCAGTGGTGTGGTATTTGATTATGTGTCTGTGAAGTTTGTAAGACCTGTGATGTCTTGTGGCACCTTGTGAAACCTTGTGAAACCTGGTGACACCTGTGATGAAATTGCTAGTTTGCTGATGTGCTTGGATAGAGGTGGTGAATACCTAAGTGAGGAGTTTGACAGCTATCTGCGCGATCAAGGGATAGAGCGCCAACTAACCATTCATAACACACCTCAGCAAAATGGTGTGGCAGAGCGGTGTAGAGACTTGTGCCTCTCATTGTGTGATATGGCAGTTTTCACTAGGGAGTACATGGCACGAACTTGTAGCATCACTCTGCATGCTATCCGCAGCTATTCCTATATGAGGCGCAGCTTTCCTATGCAACGCGCAACATGCGAGCACATTCCCACGCTTCACAATGTATATGCACACATGCTTTCCCGTGCTTGAGTGCCCTATAGCGCCAGCCATCTGGAAGCATCCATCTACTGTCCACCAAGCTCTCTAGTGCGTATATTTCCATTTCTCTTATTTGCATATTGTTCCACCTTTATTTTTATCATGGACCCTTACTTACATATATCTTTACATACCTTACTCGGTAGCGCTTCGGCTCCACATGACAATGCTTAGGCACCATATATAAGTGCCAGTAGTACATACCAGGAAGGAGTTTAGGAACCCCCATGTTCACAATACACAACTCAGCTTAGTTGGAATCCTGTGCCTTCGCGCCTCACGCCCGCCTGCGCTTTCCCGCGCTTCACATCAGCCAACCAGTAGCACCTTCAGCACCTACTACTAGATCTTTGCTGCACTCACTTCCCCTTCAGGATCAAATGCACTTGTTGTCTCAAGTATAGCAGACTAGGCAATGTGCGACCTTACAACATTTATAGATACAGTCAGGAGCCTTGTTTGTGCCTCACTGTATCGTTGAACCTTCAGCGGCTGAATTGCACACTAGTAGCACACGCTCGCGCGATGATCCTGGCTCGGGAGCTACCCATGTTCCTCTGGGCCAAGGCCATTAGCTATGCTACATGGCTCAAAAATTGCTTACCTTCATGCGCTATCCCAGATCACACTCCCTATGACCTGGTTCACGGTCGCCGTCCCTCCCTAGAGCAAGCGCACGAGTTTGGATGTCCGGTGTATGTCCATGTTGCGGATGGAGGCAAGCTGGATGCTCGAGCCGAGGAGGCCATTTTTGTCGGTGTGGATGACCAAAGCAAGGGGTATAGGATATACTGGCCAGAAAAGAGGAGGATTCCTGTTGAATGCAATGTTAGCTTTGCACCTCAGATGGTGACAGTGGCAGACGTACCGAACGAGGGCGAGACATGCTCATCAGCTCCAGGTAACATTCAGAACATCTTACCAAAGTCCCCCTCTTCCCCACCACAACCACCTCAAGATCCTCCAGTGTCTAGAGTCACCCGCCAGCGCCCACCACCTGGGTACTATACCGCCCTAAACCAGGGGGAGACGGCCAACTTAGTATTCCACCCGGCAGAAGCAGACTTCAAGGATGAGAGCATATCCACTCACCAGTATGCTATGGCCGCTGTAGAGCCAGAGGTAACACTCCAGCAAGCCCTTAATGGTCCTGACATGGCTAAATAGCAAGAAGCCATCAACTACAAAATTAGTCAGCTTGAGAAGCTAGGCATGTGGAAAATTGTAGACTCACCGCCGGGCGCAAACCTTATACCATGCCACTATGTTTTGGCCACGAAACGCGGACCAGATGGTGAGAAGCTCAAGTTATGAGCTCGGCTAGTTGTGAACAGTCAGCATCAAAAGTATGGAATTGATTATTATGACACCTTCACTCCCACGTCCAACATGTCGACTATTTGAATGGTTCTAGCCATGGCAGCTCAGCGTAACTGGCACATACACCAAGTTGATGTCAAAAGCACCTACCTCTACACGGAACTCAAGGAGGATATATTATATTCTACATAAGTTCGAGGAACGAGAACGTGCGTAGAATGAGGTCTACGCGGTGGCACTGCTTTTCGTGACTCATCTTTTCTTCTTTCGTACTACCACCTAGTACGACTCGCAGTCTATCTACTATTTGACTTCACCTTTATTTCGTCGCTTTTATTTAGCACTTTAGCATTTATATCATGCCGAGGATTATCAACGACCCAAACTTAAACGTTTGCCCGGACTATGCCTCACCGCACTATGCTAACGCACGAGCGCAACTGGTAAACGACAATGTAACCGAGGAGCAGTCCATACAGCTCCTCAGGACCATCTGGCGCGCAGCCAACGATGCAGACATTGACCTTTGGGAAGGTCAGGTAGAGGTCAAAAGAGAGCAACGCGAGAACTTACGTCGGATACAAGAGGAGGAGCAAGACAGAATAGAGCAGGAGCGCATCGACGAGGAAGAGTCAGCACGGAAAGAAGAGAAAAAGAAGCACAAACATAAGTTTATGCCAATCCCGGAAGACACTGGCGTTCCAGACGAACCCTCCATAATTCCCTCCTCCTACGCGATTCGCAAGCTCGACAAAGGCGAGTACCTTGAACTGTGGTATTTCACTAACGACGGTCTAGACGAGGCACACTCCAAAAGACCATCAACGATGATGCCATGGTCATGTCCACCCTCCCAGATGGATCCACAGCCTGGGTGTCGGCAGCAGCGGCACGCAACGCCTCGTCCGTCGTAGACGATGAGAACCTCTCCTTCGAGGAATTTTGCATAGCCTGCCCAAGGTTCATAGCGGCCATCGAAGAGGCCGACTGGCCACAAGACCGAGTTCGCATGATGGCCTTTTTCTGGAAGAATATACAGATCCACCCTTATCGTTCCATGCGGGACCCGCTTGCCCAGAAGGCTTTACTAGTTTATCAAGCCGAGCAACGCAAACATTGGCACGTTGTTGCGAAATCGGCAGCAGGTCCATACAATCTGTCCACCATCAATCAAAAGGTGTTAGACGCAACGAGGGAGAGAGTATACTGGCTAGAGCGTACCAAAAAAGACAACCAACGAGATTATAAGGTTAGCAAACTTTCCATTGCGAAATTTCGAACCATTACTAAATGCTTCTCTCGCACCCAATTTTCTTCTTAAAAATTTGCTACATCACTACACCGCTTCGCTTCATGCCACATGCCACATGCTTCATGCCTCACCCTGTAATCAACATCTCTCGTTGTCGCATCACTCGATGCATGGTGGCAAATTGCTTCACTCTTGCGCGTAACCATCGCATGCTTCCGCTTCGTCTCGAATGACAGGCTGATCAACACCTCACGGTCTCAACTGGCTCCTCGTCGAATCATCAACGAAATTATCGGCGAGACTCCAGGGAATCGTGGAAGCGTTCACCGTCGCTTGAGCAGGGAGGAAGACAAAAGAGGAACCGGCAGGATTTTCGAGCGGGCGCAAGCGGAAATGCCCTTTCCACTTGCGCCGTCTGTCTTGGGCAAAACCCGCATCGAATCATCGAATGCAAGGCCACAAAGACGTGGGACAGTGCTTTCGATACCCTATGCACACGCCTCGGAAAGATTCTCACCATGCGAGACGCGCAGCCCATATGCAGCGACTGGCAGCCTGTCTCAGGCTGCAGCGACACTTCCCACGATTGGCGACACTTCTGTTCAGGTTGCGCAGCGTCCACTCATGGAGCTCAAAGCTGCCCTCGAGCACAGAAGGCATAAGGCCATTTCCCCTTACAAAGTCGATGCTTGGAACGCTAAACTTGCGACATCCGGACTCATTAACAGATACCCACATGTACCTAATGGACTTCATTGAGGCTTTCGCCTCGACATTCTGAACATTAAACTCATGCAAATCCCATACAACAAAGACTCCATTATTACATACGAACGAGAATTCTTATCAATCATCCAATCTGAGATCAGCAAGGGTAGATACATTGGGCCGCTCTCGGCCAATGAAGTCAAAGATCTTATTGGCCCCTTTCAGTCATCGCCTTTCTCAATTATACCAAAACCCGGACGCCCCGGGCATTTTCGCATCATTCAGAACTATTCTTTCCCGCACGATACATCGCAGAAGTTTCCTAACCCTTCTATTAATTCATATATCGATCCGGATAATTTTCCCACTACCTGGGGTACATTTCACGTTCTCTCCCCCACTATCAGCCGTCTACCACCAGGTTCCCAACTGGCCACAAGAGACGTCGCAGAGGTGTATCGCACCATTCCCTTACACCCCTCTCAGTGGCCAGGTTCAGTGGTGCGCATATCTGATGAGCACTTTTGTATTGACACCTGTACCTGTTTTGGTTTGCGCCCATCAGCAGGCGCATATGGAGTTGTTGCTGATGCCGGTCTCGACATCTTTCGGCATCAAGGGATTGGTCCCACGTCCAGATGGGTCGACGACCACTTGTTTATTCGCATACTCACAGAACATCTTGCAGCATACAACTTACAGCGCCAAGAGTGGCATAAGGACATTATCGAACGGGGGCAACACCAAGATGGAGGGAGAATATGGTTCGGGGGACACGTCTTCGAGGACGGGACCCTCGAGGAGTTTGATGAAGACTGCCGGTTTCCCATCAGGGACCTCTCAGCATCATCCCCTAGGTCACCCGAAGACCTTTGGTTTTCATTTAATTTTGCCGATATTGATGGCACTTCTGACGAGCTGGGCATCCCTTGGGAGACCTCCAAGGACGCTAATTTTGCTTATGCGAACCCCTACATCGGCTTCATGTGGGACATCACCCAGAATCAAGTGTATCTGCCCGAAGCCAAGAAGGAGAAGTATCTACTCGCCATCGCTGAATGGCAAGGGCGTGAAACTCACGTTCTTCGTGACGTGCAGCGCCTATACGGCAAATTGCTGCACACCTCACTCGTCATTACGCGGGGGCGCGCGTACCTCACCGCACTCGAAGCGATGCTGCGCATCGGATCCGATCGTCCTTTTCTCCCACGTCACCAAGTCAAAAGCCTACCAGACGACCTCAAGTGGTGGATCGCTCTTCTCCGAAGTCAATTCGTCGGTCGCACCATACCCAAGCCCATCACCTCTCTGCATAATCCCGCAGCTTTTTCTGATGCCAGCTCAGGCATTGGAATTGCTGTCGTCATTGGTCGACAATGGCGAGCATGGCATCTTCGCGAAGGATGGAGGACACTCAACGGGGTGAAAGACATCGGATGGGCCGAGGCAGTCGGGTTTGAACTTCTCATTCGACACCTTGTCCAATTGGGAGGCACGGAAAGACACTTTCGTCTCTTCGGAGACAATCAGGGCGTCATTGAGGGATGGCGCAACGGTCGCAGCAGGAACTCAGCTGTCAACACAGTTTTCCGGCGCATCTTCGCCTTCATCCATGACCTCCCAGCTCCATACTCTTTCCACCCGGTCTTCGTTCCAAGCGAACATAACCCAGCCGATAATCCATCCAGAGGCATTTATGCTAGCCCAGAACTCATGCTCCCCGAAGTTCCCATTCACGACGAACTGCAACGGTTTATCTTCGACCCATTCTCCAACCGCGACAGCGCAGGTAACCACTCCAGCTGCAGGAACGAATCCCTCATCATCGCTGAGTCTTCTCGCGACAATACCAGTGTCGATCTTAGTCGGGAGCTCGAACACATTGGCACCATCCCTGATTCCCTCTATCACATCCATGAACGCCAATGGCACAACTAACTCACGCTTTAACGCTCCTCTTCCTGTCGAACCGACAACTAAACCGCAGCCTTATAAGGCGGGTTTAGTTCCTAAGACCTCACCTCTTCATCCACACTGTTCAGCAAGGGACAGACTCAAATGCTGGATACCAGTCCAGACGAGATCGAGTCAAGACGCCAACGGGAGAATCTTGAGCGTGACTGAAGAGGATCTAGAGAGAGTCCTTATGGTCATCAACCAATCATGGGCTCAAGGAACGAGAGAGTGTTATGGAGCAGGATTACTAGTTTTTCACGTTTTTTGCGACGGTCACACCATTCCCGAAGAACAACGCTGTCCAGCGGACACACTTACCATACTCAACTTTATCTCAGGATGTGCTGGCTCTTACTCCGGAAAAACCCTAGCAAACTATGTCTATGCCGTGCGTGCATGGCACACGTTGCATGGCCAACCGTGGCAGGTGCAACCTGACCAATTGAAGGGAGCCTTAGACGGCGCCATCAATTTTGCCCCGCCAACATCCAAGAAACTCAAACGCGAACCATTCACCACGAAGCTCATTCTAGAGATTCACCCCCTTCTAAGACTCTCTTCACCTCTAGATGCGGCTGTGTTTGCGTGCTTGACGTGTGCCTTCTACTCGCTCTGCCGGATCGGAGAACTGACCGTAACCGCCATGAACACGTTTCAAACCACGGCACACGTCACACGTTCGAATGTCCAAATGGACGCGGAGGATCGCAATGGATTGCACGTCACCAAAATCCACTTACCACGCACCAAGACAGCACCTATCACCGGTGAGGACATATATTGGGCCCAACAAGAAGACCAAACTGATCCCAAAGCCGCTCTTTTGAATCACTTCACAGTCAACAACCCTTCTTCAACCGATCATCTCTTCGCCTGGGTACACCCAAAGTACGGCTTAAGGCCGCTGTCTCGCACGGTTTTCTTGAAGAGAATCGGGGAAGTGGCTAAGAGGATCGGAGCTGACAATTTGAAAGGGCATGGGCTAAGGATTGGCGGGACGCTAGAGTACTTGTTGCGGGGTGTTCCTTTCGACGTGGTCAAATCGATGGGAAGGTGGTCAAGCGACGCCTTCACCATCTATCTACGCCAACACGCTATGATAATGGCGCCCTATCTGCAGGAGTCACCTATCCTCGAACCGTTCACACGGTACACCATGCCTCCTCCACGTTGAACAAAGGTACGTGCACATTGCCCTCCTCCTATTTGTTGGGAGTCCATGCTTAGCCTGACGCGTCGCAGGGCTCCTGTTGTTTTTGGGAATCACGGCTTGCCCTGGACTCCGTCCGAAACGATGTTTCAGGTCAAAAAGCCCTGCGGGCTTTTAGCCCAAATAGCGTCATCATACCTCATATTCTCTATTTGTCACACAGTAGATATTATTGAACGTCAATCATATCAATTTTGGCTTTTGAATAGTCACGAGAACAATCAGCAACACATAGATATATGCACACCCCTCCAGGGTATCTCATGGCCAGAGATGAGAGAAAAGTTTTAAAGTTGTTGAGCTTACCGGGTCTGAAACAGGCTGGTTTTGAGTGGGCTGAGGAGTTGGCAGGAGCATTCTCGAAGATGGAGTTCACATGCTCGAAGGTCAATCAGGCGGTCTATTACAAGCAAAAGGACGATGAACACACCATTATCACCATATTGGTCGACGACATGGCTGTCACCTCCCGCCACCTCCACCATATCAAGTGTTTCACAGACAGACTAAGCCAACACTTCGAGATATCGGATCTTGGTGAGCTTACCTGGCTTTTGGGACTTAAGGTAGAATGAGATCGTGCTGCACGCACTATTACTTTGTCCCAGAAGGTGTATGTCAACACAATCCTTGAACACTTCCATCTCACAGACACCAAACCCGTGCAAACCCAAATGGAGGTTGGCACCATGCTGTCAGATGCCCACTCACCTGCTACTCACGCCCAGAGTGAGGCCATGCATGATGTGCCATATCAACACGCCATCAGGTCTCTAATGTATGTGGCAACAAGTACATGGCACGACATCTCATTTGCCATTGCCACACTCTCACAATTCATGCGCAATCCTGGAAGGGAACATTGGGAAGCTGCAAAGCATGTGTTGAGGTACCTAAAAGGTGCAAGCACTTATGGACTGACCTTGGGAGGCACGAAGGGAGGATTGGAGGCGCACGTGGATGCTGACTGGGCCTCGCAGGCTCACAGGCACTCGATGTCCAGATATGTCATTCTGTTGAACAGAGGACCTGTTGCATGGAGCGCGGGGAAGCAACCCCTCATAGCCCTATCTACAGCCAAAGCTGAGTATATCGCGCTTATGACTGTGGCATGAGAGGTGCTCTACTTGCAGCTCCTGTTGGACAAACTCTACAGTGTCAAACAAATCCCTACCCCCATCTATTGCAACAATCA